TTTTCGTTACAGTGTCACTAAAAACTTATTCTTTCCTTTCCTCCTTGCCTGTCTGCTTGCTTTCTTTCTTTCTTTCTTCTTTCTTTCTCTCTTCTCTCTTTCGTTCAGTGCACCATTACGAACATCTAATATCCTAATATTCTTACAACACAGTCTTAAAAGATTAATTAGAAGATAATAGTATAATAGACAATAATATATAATGATAATATACGCACAATAATAATGGCGATGATGCTAATGATAATGACGATAATAATAATAGATAATAATAACAATAACAATAATAGTAATCATGTGATAAGCAGTAATAGTGATAATAATAATAATAATAATAATGATAATGATAATAAAAAACAAAAAAGAAAAAAAAAGGGGGGGAATAAAATAGTTAAACATATTCAGCACCACCACTGATATACCGAGTTCAAAGTTACACTTTGACGGGGTATACAATGTTCGACGAAACACAAAGTGTACAACGAATATGTTGCATTCTCTTCTAATTAAAAAAATACATTGGTACCGAAAAACATTCGAGCACTTTTAAAAAGCCTATTTAAAACGAGACCCTATGAGATGACACACCGATAACAACAACAATAATATCCAGAAAAAAAAAAAAAAAAAAAAATAATAATAATAATCGTATCAAAGTCTGATTATGCTTTGGTAATATAACCTCAAAGCATTTTCAAAATTACAACGAAGCGTATCGTTTTCTTGTACTTGAATCGTTGATCTAACTGTAAGACACTTTTCAAAGAAAGGGCACGTAATTGTCGCGAATATCACGATTAATCGCATCCTTATTCTCTTTTCCTTTTTTTTTTTTTTTTTTTTAAATTCCTGATCAATTCTACGCAACATCCATCGTGTGAGACGTTTTCATATTTCGCGCCATTCATAATCTTACTTACAAATATTAAGTATGTATATGTATATATGTATATATGTGTATGTGTGTGTATGTATATGTATATATATATATATATTCTTTCGATAGTTGAAAGCTTATTGAAAGGCCATTAGTTAATTTAGCCATTGGCGAAATATTTAAATTCGTACGCAATTTTTTTAATGTAAAAATTTCTCTCCCCTTCTTTCCTTCTTATATCGATTTCTTTTAATCGTAACAAAGTAGAGAACAATTATCCCCTATACGCTTATTAACTTTCATTCATTTGATTCTTCTCCACGGATCGAATAAAAACAATAGATAATAAGTAACTAAATATCGTATATATAATATGATTAAACAACATCTTTCTAGAAGAGAAGAATCGATAGAAGTCAACAAAAAAAGGAAAAAAAAAAAGAAAAATAGAATAAATATATATATATATATATAAAAAAAAAGAATAAAATATTCTTACGAAGGAAACGTTTCACGAAACGTAACCGACGTCCTATCTCGCTTTACCAAGATCTATATATATATATATATAGATATAGATATAGATAGATATATATAGATATATATATAGATATAGATATACACATGTATCTATAATCCCATGGACCGATCCCAATTTTTTTGTCATTAAAAAAAAGAAGAAGAAGAAGAAGAAGAAAAATAAAAAAAGTGATCGCTTGGCAAAAATCTCTCTCTCTCGCCAGATGGATTACAATCAAGCTCGCAATTCAATTTCTACATTCACAAAAGTAAACGGCAATTAGGGCTGATGCTCGTTTCGGAAACGAAGCATCTTCGCACTTTCGTCTCTTCGGATTTTTTTACTTCCGAATGGCAGGTAGCGGTGTTGTTCACCGATTGATAATCTTGAGGAATAGGGTTACCGGCAGCGCCACCGCCGCCGCCGCCACCACCACCACCCCCACCACCACCGAAACTCTCTCCGTGCAATTTCTTAATGTGTCTGACCAGGCTGCTGTGCTGCGTGAACTTCCTGTTGCAAAGGATACATGAGAACTGTCTGGCGACACCGCACTCGTATCGTAGATGGCGCTCGAGATTCCCCTCGGAACGATAGGATCTCGGGCAGCGCAGACACTTCCACTTGCCGTTCGTGTTTCGTATTTTGCCGCAGACCGTTTCGCGATGCCGTTTCAAGGTCGATTTGTGCGTGTACAATTTTCCACAGTTCCAACATCTGTAGGGCCTGTCCGCGTCCGGCATCCCGCCCGGATAATCTTGAAACAGAAGCCTCGAGTAACTGGAGCAGTTTATAGGCGGGTTAAAGGGCGGCGTGTTGTTCGGCAGATGATCGATCGGCGAGGGACACTTTGGATACACTTGGTAATCCGTTTTGCTCTCTGGAAAAGAAATCAGAGAAATTTCACATGTGAGGGGGGAGGAAGTGGAGAATTTTAGAAGTGAGAAGAAGAGAATTTTATTGGGATTATTATTATTATTATTATTATTATTATCGTTACAAGAGAATAACGCGTGGATAATTAATCAATTAATTAATCAATTTAATCGAAAAAATGGTTCAAATCGAAGGATAATCGCGAATATTCCGGATAAGAAAATTAACATATATATATATATATATATATATGTGTGTGCGTGGAAAAGAATTGGAATGGAAAGTAAATAAATATGAAAATTGAATATCAATCTCTCGCTCAGTTTCTCTCCATTCTTTCTCTCTCTTTCTCTCTCTCTCTCTTTTTTCTCATTCTCACTTTTGAACTCTTGATTTACGAAGAGGAGGAAGAAATAAAAAAAAAAAAGAAAAAAGGAAGAAAAAAGAAAAAGGAATTAATAATAATTCGATTTCGCTTGTTCTTTTCGCGATCGATTGAAGATCGATTTGAGAGATGGGGTCGATCGAATAATAATTTCTGTATACGTACTTGTACACTGAAATGACACGCAGGACGAATATCTTCGATATTAGAGGACGTCGATCAGAGCGTATATATTGATAAAAAAGAAGATTTCTATTTCGTTCAAAGAAAGAAAAAAAAAAAGAAAGAAAAAAGAAATTGTCGAAAAACGCACAGACTCGAAAATATTCTATAAATTTAAGAAAGGAAACGAAAAATATAATATAAATTATCTTGGATCTTCGAATGAGAGCTCCCATTGTGGTGAATAGGTGAAGATGTTTCAGGTAAAATTTTTATTATTATTATTATTATTATTATTATTATTTATTATTATTATTATTAATATTATTATTATTATTACTATTATTATTTATTATTTATTATCTATCTTCTAGACACTCTCGATGGCACATCAAATCTACTATCGACGGTTCTAGGAGACGATTTTAAAATGTAATATTTCGATAAATATACTATTTAAAAAGAAACGACATTGAATACGTTAAACGTGTCCAGCCAAAAATCTTTTATATAACGTGATAAAATTCAACGATCTCGATAATCTACGATTAATAATACAATTTGTGCTTAAAAATCGAATTAACACGCAGGAATGAATAAAAATCTGTGCACTAAAAATGTTCATCTCGCGTGTCCGAAATCTCTTTGGCGGGATCTATCTTCGTGTACGCAGGAATCACTTTTTCTCTTCGCCGATGATGCGATCATCGAACGTGACCATCCTGGATGGATCATCGATTGGCCATTCGTTGATCTTCGAGCCGATCTTCGAGTCGAAATACATATCCGGATGAGCCCAACAACAACAACAAGGAAGAAGCCGAGGATGACCCCCAAAATTTTGAAGCGGAAAATTTTTCTTGGCGCGGCAAGGAACATTCTTCGAGACGCAGACGCCTTTTTCTTCTCCTTTCTCCTTCTCCTTCTGACTGACATCGTTTCTTCGAAGTGACGAACAAGAGAGCCAGTCTCTCTTTCATTTTTTTTTTTCACACACCAAGGTAGACAGACGTCCCTGCGCCTGCAGACGGAGAAGACGGCCGCCGCTTGCTTCGCCGAAATGCTTGCGAGATTCGACGAAGGGGTCATCTTCGCTAATACCTAGAAGAACATTAACAGTGGAATTCGCGTTAATCACGAAAAACAAACTACCACCGAAACGGCCAGAAAACGGGGGGCAGCTTGCCCTCTCCATTTTTTTTTTTCCCTCCATTTTCCCGATTTTAAATCGGGAAGGAAGTCAATCCTATTCAATTCTCGCAGGAGGATGATGTCGTGTCCATCCCCCGGCCGTTTTAGCGCCATTGCGATAAAGATTAACAACAAATTACAAAAAAAATATATATATATATATATATATATATATATATATATATTATA